AGTCTCACCCCTCCCTGCATCACTGTCACTAGTCACTCCCCTAACTCTGTCACCTAGTGCTACCTCCTTCCCCTCCTCTGTCCCTAGTCACCCCTATCCCTCCCTGTCACTTGTCACCCCTCACTCTGTCACCAGTCACTTCCCTTACTCTCACTAGTCACCACATCCCCTCCCTCAGTCACTTGTCATCCCTCGCTCTGTCACCAGTCACCCCTCCCTTACTCTCACTAGTCACCCCATCCCTCCCTCTGTCACTTGTCACCTCACTTGTCACCCAGTTCCCCTCCCCTCACTTTGTCACTGGTAATGCCCCCCCCTCCCTCACTCTGTCACTAGTCACCCCTCCCTCCACTTTGTCACTAGTCACCCCTCCCTCCTTCACTGTCACTAGTCACCCCATACCTCTGTCACCCCTCCCTCTGCCACAAGTCACCCCCTCCCTCACTCTGTCACCAGTCACACCCCCCCTCACTGTGTCTCACCCTCACTGTGCCACCAGGTGCCACTCTGCCACCTGTCACCACCTCCCACACTCTTCCACCTGTCACCCCCTCCCTCACACACACTCTGTCACCTGTCTCCACCCTTGGACAAGTAGATTTAAAAAAAAATATTCCACACCCCTGCACATGCAGACACGCACTAACGCTCAATACGCATATGTATTCACACTGACACTATATACAAAATAGCATATGTAGTCATCCAGACATGCACAAGTGCATTCACACAGACTCAGATACAAACATGCATTGATACACAGTTCTTCACAATATACACATCCAAAGGAATGCCGTATTAGAGAGTTATATTTAACATTTATTTAATGCACATATATTTGGCCTTCAAAGGGCCTGGGATCTAATTTTGCCCGGGGGCCCCAAAGGCTCTCAGTCCGCCCCTGCCTGCATTTTAGCTATATGCTTAATTACACTCCGGAGAGGAGTAGTTGCCTGTTCCCAGATCTCCTTAGCAATATCCAGTATTCCCCCGGGCATGTCTTCCATATAACAATTCAAAAGGAGAGAAGCCTTTGGAGGCCTGTGGAACTTCCCTAATGGAAAATAGTAGATATGGCAATAAAATATCCAATTTTTCCCATCTGCATCAATTACCTTACGTAGCATACGCTTGAGGGTTTTGTTGAACCTCTCTACTAAACCATTAGTCTGTGGGTGATATACTGAGGTCTTAAGATGTTTAACCTGCAAGAGCCTGTACAACTCTTTTGTGACTTTGGACATGAAAGGGGTTCCCTGATAAGTTCCTTAGCTATTAACTTTGCAGAGGTATTACACTAGGGGATGGCCTCACGGTAGCGAGTTGCATAGTTCAAGATGACTAGTATATACTGGTGCCCAGTGGCGTACACACAATCCACGGGGCCCCGGTGAGAAACTGATCCGTGGGCGCCCCCCCCCTACCCTGACCCTCTCCCCCTTGACTGCGGCCCCCCCGACACATACACACACACAGATACACACACACATACAGAGACACACAGACACACATACAGAGACACACACACACATACACAAAATGTTTTCTACCTTTTGTGAATTTCCCTGGGGTCCAGTGGTGGCTCAGCCTGATGGGAGTCTGAGTTCCCCACTAAGTCCATAGCGATCCCTTCAAAAGGCACATCAATTATGGGTAAGGGTACAAGTGGACTACAAAAAGTCTTGAAAGGAGCCCTGTACTGGCACTCAGGATATGAGGAGCAATACACCCTGTTGTAAATTATTATGCAAATTATATTTTTCTCATTTACCTAAATAACAGTCAACATAATTCTCATGTTATCAACTATTAAGAGTACAATTCAAATTTTATTGAACAAACCTCCTAATGATAACAGTATTTTTTTTAAACATAAAAAAACTTACAATGCAGTGTTCCAAAATATTACACACAGTAAGTTTCAAAACACTTTGCAGGTTGTAAAGAACTGAAAATTGGCATTTGTTGTGTTTGCAGCACATTTACTGAAATCAAAAGCAATTTCAATCAAACTTATAACACCATTTTAACTTTTTAAACATTTTAACAGGTCACGTTAAATTTTAACATGGGATCCCTTATTTCATAGCAGCGTTACAAGTCTTGCATCCATTGAACTTGTGAGTTTTTGGACAGTTTCTGCTTGAATTTGTTTGCAAGATGTCAGAATAGCCTCCCAGAGCTGCTGTTTGAATGTAAACTAACTCCCACCCTCATAGATCTTTTGCTTGAAGATGCTCCAAAGGTTCTCAATAGGATTGAAGTCAGGGGAGGATGTAGGCCACACCATGACTTTCTCTCCTTTTATCCCCATAGCAGCCATTGATGCAGAGGTAATCTTTGCAGCATGAAATGGTGCATTGTCATGCATGAAGATTTTACTACGTAAAGCATAGTTCTTCCTTCTGTATCAGGGAAGAAAGTCGTCAGTCACAAACTCCACATTCTTTGCAGAGGTAATCTTTACACCTTCAGGGACCCTAAAGGGGCCGACCAGCTCTCTTCCCATGATTCCGGCCCAAAACATGACTCCACCACCACCTTGCTGATGTCGCAGCCTTGTTGGAACAGGGTGGCCGTCCACCAACCATCCACTACGCCATCCATCTGGACTATCCCGGGTTGCATGGCACTCATCAGTGAACAGGACTGTCTGAAAATTAGTCTTCATGTATTTTTATGCCCAATGCAGCAGTTTCTGCTTGTGAGCATTGGTTAGTGGTGCCCAAATAGAAGGTTTATGCACAGTTGCGAGACTCTGGATGACTCTACACCTTGATGTCCGTGGAACTCCAGAGGCACCAGCAGCTTCAAATATTTGTTTGCTGCTATGTAATGGTATTTTAGCAGCTGCACTCTTAATTCGATGAAAGAGTCATTGTTAACAGCACCATAACAGTTAAACAAAAATGAATGTGCTCTCTCATCTTTGCCCATATTGCATTCCATAAGTTCATCCTTCAGGACAGTCCTTGACCGTATGACCATCCTCTTTGCACTTGAAACATTTGACAGTATAATTTGACCACCAATTAGTTCCTCTCCCAGGCCTGTTAGACCTGGATGCCCCCTGTTCCTGATGTATTTTCCCTGGTGTTTTGTGTATAGAGCTGCAGCTCTTCAGCTCCAATTAAACCTTGAGCAGTCTTACCAGTTCTTGCAGAATCTTGGGGCTTAGTATTGCGGGGGTTTTCCTGTGAAGTAGGACGTAGCAGTTCTCCTGCAACCACATATCTTTCCACCAAGGAAATAAGTTGGTCTGCTGTATGGGGATCACTTTGGCTCTCCCTGCGACGCAAGGGTTTCTACAATGTGACTAGCTGAATGGATTTCAGGTTGTAGTCATTTCCGTGCGAGGTGTATGAGGTCAAACATTTGGGAACGTGCTGCCTTGTCAGAAGAATAGCATGAGTGGAACCTTTTGGGCACGTACTGCAGAGGTTACACCCAGTCGTGCCAAGATTTCAGCTTTCAATTTGCTGTAGTTACTTGCATCCGCTGGTTCTAAGTCATAGTATGCCTGCCACAGCTCTCCACTTAGGAACAATGCCAGTATGCTTGCCCACTCATCAGCTGGCCATCCCTTCCTCTCAGCAGTGCATTCAAATGACAGAAGGTATGCCTCAACATCATCTGATGCAGTCATTTTCTGAAGGTAGTGGCTCACCCAAATCACCTTTGGGCCCTGGTATCAGTGTCTCCATTCAGCTTTTCAGAGATAGCTTGGATCCTGTTTTAGTCCCTGGGTGGCATTTTGCTGCTCCTCACGGGCTAATTTAAACATCTCAGCAATCAGTTTCACCAAGGACTCAGTGCACTCCATCTGTGTTTTGGATTTTAGCACACTCTGCCTGGGCCAGCACCAGTTGCTGCAGGGCTGCATTGTTTTCTGCAGCTCTCCTGTTAGCCTCCTGTTGCACAGAGGTGGATTGGATCAGAGCCTTGATAACATCTTCCATGTTGAGCTTTAAATGACTTCTACCCTCAGGCTTATGTGGCTGCCCGCATTCTCCACCATATGTAACAAACTACCTCTTTAACACGTAGGATTTTGTCACAGATCGTACGGTAACCAGCCTTGTAGGGTAATCAAAGTTCAGGACACATCCAGTTCAGCTTTCTTTTTTTATTTGATGAGAAAACAGGTGCTTTAAATAAAAATAAACAAAACAAAATTCCTTGCTCTTGCTTGAGCTCTTACTAGACAGAAATAACTATCTGTAATTATAATGGTGGCTTTCCCATTTACCAATTTTCAAAATCAAAATAGTTTTGCTTTGCAATAAACACAATTCTCTCTCTCTCTCTCTCTCTCTCTCTCTTTCTCTTTCTTTCTCTCCCTCCCCCTCTCTCTCTCTCTCACCCTCTCCCTCAGGATGATCTCTTCTTTTAACCCCTTAAGGACGGAGCCAAATGTACACGTTGTGAACGAAACAAAATGTAAACAAAACCTGGCATTTGCGCTACATGTCTGTCCAACCGTAATTCACCTCTTTCATAGTAAATGCACCCACTCTTATTATATATCATTTTATTCAGGGGAAACAGGGCTTTCATTTAATATCAAATATTTAGCTGTGAAACATAATTTGATATGAAAAAAATTGGAGAAAATAAGATTTTTTTGATTTTTTTAGTTCTACATGACATTTTAACTGTCAATGTCTTAATACTGTTTGCTTTTACTGCAATACAATACACATATTTGTATTCAGCGATGTCTCACGTGTAAAACAGTACCCCCTATGTACAGGTTTTATGGCGTTTTGGAAAGTTACAGGGTCAAATATAGCATGTTACATTTGAAATTGAAATTCACCAGATTGGTTACGTTGCCTTTGGGACTTTATAGTAACCCAGGAATGACATTTACACCCATAATGGCATACCATTTGCAATAGTAGACAACCCAATGTATTGCAAATGGGGTATGTCCAATCTTTTTTAGTAGCCATTTGGTCACAAACACTGGCCAAAGCTAGCGTTAGTATTTGTTTGTGTGAAAAATGCAAAAAACGCCAATTTTGGCCAGTGTTTGTGACTAAGTGGCTACTAAAAAAGACTGGACATACCCCGTTTGCAATACCTTGGGTTGTCTACTATTGCAAATGGTATGCCATCATAGGGGTAATTTTCATTCTTGGGCTACCATAGGGTCTCAAAGGCACCGTAACCAATCTGGCTAATTTTAATGTGAAAAAAATGAAACGCAAGCCTTATATTTGACGCTGTAACTTTTGAAAACACCATAAAACCTGTACATGAGGGGTACTGTTGTACTCGGGAGACTTCGCTGAACACAAATATTTGTGTTTCAAAACAGCAAAAAGTATCACAGCAATAATATCGTCCGTGTAACTGCTGTTTGTGCATGAAAAATGCAAAAAACTTCACTTTTACTGGCGATATCATCATTGTAATACATTTTACTGTTTTGAAACACTAATATTTGTTTTCACCGAAGTCTCCCGAGTAGAACAGCTATACCGGCCATGTGATTGTGGGGTCCTCGCAAGGACCCCACTCTCACATGGCCGGGGGGCTTCCAGGGGGTCGGACGTGCCGCGGGGGGCTCCCTGGGAGTCCCCCCCACCGCGATCGCCGGCGTGGCGTTTAGAGCCGCCTAAAATAGGGCATAATTGTACGCCCTCCGGTCTTAAGGGGTTAAAGGCCTGCCTGCTAATTGACCAGCTATAGGTGAGTGTCAATTAGTTCACATCTCTGGAAGTTAAAACCAAGTTCAGGTCTGTTACAGAGCAACTAATGCTGTTGGAGCACTGGCCCGCCCTGCTCTCCAAATGCTCCGCCCTAGGGACCCATACCATGTTTGCAGAGTATCAACAATGTATTTTGCAAACTTAACATCTCTCCCTGGGACATTTAACTGAAAAATCTATGGCTGCTGTTTAGCAAAGCAGGCCTGATATATCTTCCTTCAATCACTATTCCACATTTTTGCTCACAATATATAGTATCTCACAAAAGTGAGTACACCCCTCACATTTTTGTAAATATTTTATTATATATTTTCATGTGATAACACTGAAGAAATGACATTCTGCTACAATGTAAAGTAGTAAGTGTACAGCCTGTATAACAGTGTAGATTTGCTGTCCCCTCAAAATAAGTCAACACACAGCCATTAATGTCTAAATCATTGGCAACAAAAGTGAGTTCCCCCCATAGTGGAAATGTCTAAATTGGGTCCAAAGTGTCAATATTTTGTGTGGCCACCATTATTTTCAAGCAATGCCTTAACCCTTGTGGGCATGGAGTTCACCAGAGTTTCACAGGTTGCCACTGGAGTCCTCTTCCACTCCTCCATGACAACATCACGGAGTTGGTGAATGCTAGAGACCTTGTGCTCCCCCACCTTCTATTTGAGGATGCACCACAGATGCTCAAAAGGGTATAGGTCTGCAGGCATGCTTTGATAGGCCATGTCCATCACCTTTACCTTCTGCTTCTTTAGTAAGGCAGTGGTCGTCTTGATGATGGGGTCGTTATCATGCAGACCATTCTCCGAAGGGAGGGGATCATCCTCTGCTTCAGTATGCCACGGTACATGCTGGCATTCTGGTTCCCTCAATGAACTGTAGCTCCCCAGTGCTGGCAGCACTCATGCAGGTCCGACCATGACACTCCCACCACTATGCTGGACTGTAGGCAAGACACACTTGTCGTACTCCTCACCTGGTTGCCACCACACGCTTGACACCATCTGAACCAAATAAGTTTATCTTGGTCTCATCGGAGCACAGGACATGGTTCCAGTAATCCATGTCCTTAGTCTGCTTGTCTTCAGCAAACTATTTATTGCCTTTCTTGTGCATCATCTTTAGGAGAGGCTTTCATCTGGGACGAGAGCCAAGCAGACCAATTTGATGCAGTGTGCGGTGAATGGTCTGAGCACTGACAGGCTGGCCCCCCACCCCTTCAACTTATGCAGCAATGCTGGCAATACTCATATGTCTATTTCCCAAAGACAAACTCTGGATATGACACCGAGCATGTGCACTCAACTTCTTTGGTCGAAAATGGCGAGGCCTGTTCTGAGTGGAACCTGTCCTGTAAAACTGCCGTATGGTCTAGCCCACCTTGCTGCAGTTTCAGGGTTTTGGCAATCTTCTTATAGCCTAGGCTGTCTTTATGTAGAGCAGCAATTCTTTTTTTCAGATCCTCAGAGAGTTCTTTGCCATGAGGTGCCATGCTGAACACACCTGCTTCCCATTCACACCTGAGACCTTGTAACACTAACGAGTCACATGACACTGGGGAGGGAAAATGGCTAATTGGGTCCAATTTGGACATTTCCACTTAGGGGTGTTTTCACTTTTGTTGCCAACGGTTTAGACATTAACTCATTATGGCGTTCTATGCCGTCCCGCATTAAATGGGCTTTAAAGCCGCTGCGGCGGCATAGAACACCGTAATGACTTTGAGCCCTGGAGCGCCCGGTATACTCACCTTCCCAGCGCTCCGCTTCGGGAGGACTGCCTGACAGCCCAGGCAGCCCTCCCCCGGCAAAATAAGCCCCAGGGGGCCATATGATCGCTCTCAAAGAGCAATCACACTGCCCCCTATGGCTGGCTGTGGATCTGCCAGCAGGAGGACTGTCTAAAATGTCAGACAGTCCCCCTGCTGGTGGGAAGTAATAAAAAAAAATATTAGGCAAGTTTAAAATTAAAATAGAAATGTATTTATATATATATGTATATATATATATATATATATATATATAAAAATATATAATATATATATATACACATATTATATATATATATATGTAACGTCATACAAAGTGTATTTTAATATTAATATAAGTACATATATTAGTATTAAAATACACTTAGAATGACGTTACATATATATAAATTTTATATATTTATAAAATAGATATATACACATATATTATATATATACACATGTATAATTACAATAATAAATAAAATAAATAAATAAAAT